CGCTGTTGGATTTTAAAAACGCGAAAATACAAATAGCGATATTGAATTTTTAAATTGCGTAAATAAGAATCACGATGAATAATTTTTAGATCACGTGAATACGAATCGCAATGAGTAATTTTTAAATAGCGTACAAATACGAAAAACGAGATCTGATATTACAACTGCGTGATAACGAATCGCAATATTGGATTTAAAAATGCGTGAATACGAATCGCGACGTTGGATTTTAAACTCGCGAGAATACAGATCGCGATATTGAATTTTTAAATTGAGTGAATAGGAATTGCTAGTACGATTTTTAAATAGCGTAAAAAAATCGCAACACGTAAGTTTTAAATCAGTTAAATACAAAAATCGATGATTGAAATTAAAATCGTCTGATTAAAAATCACGATTTTAGCATATTCCAGCGCAGTTCCTAATATTTAAAATTCTGAAAATCAGCCAAATAAATAAATAAATATCGGCGGTCGAAACAAAACGCTTAGACCCCTTTCCACTCTATAGTGGAAGTCGCGGTAATCCGACTATCGTTCCGGCGGCTTGGGTTTCTCTAATTGGACTCCCTAAAAAGTTTAGTTTTTGGAACATGGTCGGAAATTTTAAAATTTGGAAGAAAAAAGCGGATTTCCGCGGAAGTCTTTCATCCCTGAATAATTATGTGCACTGTACAGTTTCCTAAGAAAAAAAAGTCAGATAATAACCAACAGTATAAGGGAAGAATACCCTCTTTTTTTACAAGATCACGGGCATACGATACTGATTGCTACTCACTGCTGTACATAATCTAATTGTAGACACGAAACACATATTCTATATGCATTCCAACAGCTGATTTGCCAAACGGAATTTCTGACATTTAAATGACGTATTTAGGAGGGGTGAACGGCAAAATGCTCTCCAATGACTCACGGCGATGCGGATTAATATTTGAAACTGAATTCAGGTTTGTAAAATTTTGGACGTTTTGTCTCAGAATGGCGCAGCTTTGGCAGAAACTGAGCTGAATGTCGCAAAATGGTGCAGTTATACCGTTTTGTCTCAGTTTGTCGCAAATGGCGCAGGCGTAGCACCCCTGTGATACTGTAGCAGTGAATTTCAAATAAAATACTGAAAAGTCTTGCGTTTATTTAAAAACATGAAACTTAAAAACACTTTTATTAAAAATATATATATTGTTAAAAAAAATTTTTTTCTTACCCAATATCATCAAAGAGACGAACACATCTAAGAGCTTCATGCAAATGAGCCATCAAAGGTCTTTGTTGCAAATTTATGGCTTCTGCAAGCAGAACTTTCAGGAATGCAACCAGCTCATTCTCCTGCAATCTTTGTAATCCACCAGAAATTGATCGACCACGGGAATGGCTCAGCCAAGGAAGAGTTTGTAAATCTGCAGAACCCAGAACAAGCCTTAGTTTGCACTTGGCATCAGAAAATATGATTGAATTCTCCATATTTACAGAATCAAAATTGTGCAGATTGTTGTCCATTAAGACATTATCAGAGGCATTACTCATAGTTTCTGATATTTCTGAGTTTGAAGATTTTAATGAAGAAGAAGCTGCAGAAGAAGGTGCTTTTTTGCGGTATTTGGCAAGAATTTCATCACTAGCCTCTATAAAATTAAATTAAAAGATTAATTCAAAATTTTTTACTTTCAAATAAAAAATATATGTATATTATATGTTATGTGCATACTGCTATCAACAATAAGTTCAACAAGTAGAAATTTTTTTTTTAGTCTTTCATACAAACTATTTAATGAAACAATAAGGATGCTGAAAGTAAAAGGACATCATTCTACATAAGTAAAGTTTCATACTAAGTTTTTTATTTTGAAATATGTAATATAATATGTACACCTCATTCAGATACAAATTTGTTTATTACTAAACTATAAAAATGTGGGTAATCATTTATTACCCTTTAAGTTTTCATTTCAAAAATAAGGTAAAAAAATGTAAATGTATGTTTTTACAAGTTATTTTGAAAAATTTCTATAGTTTGTATAAATTCTTATTAAACTGGTATTATAAAAAATAGCAATGAGTTAGTGAATTCCAGTCATTTTTTTAAAGGATAAATAGTGAGAGCATTTCATTTTATCTGTCAGTTCTCTGGTTATTTGACATGAATTTTAGTGCAAAAGTTGGTTTAATTGCTTTTCAATGAACTCAACTTGACGGCCAGAATGAGGTTCAACATCAAGGACAATATTTCCCTTTCTCAAATTGGAATACCAATTATGAGCAGTTCTTTTAGCTATGACATTCATTCGATACACAGCACAAATATCACAAGCAGCTTTTGTGGCTAGAGAATCTTGATGACAAGCAAAAAGATGGTGTGCAAAATGGTAATTTTTCTTTATTTGACATGCCATTTTAAAAATTAACTAACATTAACTCTGCCTAAGATATAGATTTTGATAGAACAAAACATCCTCTTTCAAACGATCTAAAACATTATGGCGAAAACATTTAATAACATGTTGCATGGAGAAAAAAAATTTCTTCAAAAATTGGTGAGTATTATTATTAATATTTTTTTTAATTAAAACAAAAGTTTATGCGAAAAATATATTATGCGATAATATTGATTCTGATTGATCCAATTTAGGTAGACCATTTATACCAGTGCAGAATGGCCCTTAAGTTTTGGAAAATTATGAATCCAATGTTATCTTTTAAGTTTTTCAACATGAAAATTTTTCATATTTTTACCAAATAAAGAATTATTATATCATGAGGAATTTATAAATCGGATATTTTCAAATGTCAACAGTTGAATGAATGTTTAAAGCTTGAGAGTTGCAGAACATTGAAGGAAGCTCCACTGTCTTCATGTTAAAGTACTTACCAATTAATAACCGCTCTTGCTTTAGAAATTGTTTAGAAGAAAAAAATTACTAGAAAAAATTACATTCCCCCCCCCCCCCNATTAATAACCGCTCTTGCTTCAGAAATTGTTTAGAAGAAAAAAATGACTAGAAAAAATGGCACCCCCCCCCCCCATTTGAACAAAGAAAAATATGCCTGCTTTATCCATGATTACTTTGCAACAAACATGAATTAATATTAGAAAATGGATTGGTTATCAATCTCAACTAGAATAAGCAACAATAAGACCAAATGTAAAAATATAAAAAATCTACAATAATTTGTACCTAGTTGGAAAGCTCTTATTTCAGCAAGGGAACTCTGAGGTTGGCCTCTAGATCTTGCCTCAAGGTCATTCATATTATCTGAAAATCATGAAATATACAAAACAATTCTGTGGCAACAGCTTTTATCATAAATATGTGTCTATTAAAAGTACCTTTCTCAGTATCGCCTCTGTAAGATGGGTGGGATTTTCGATTCTTTCCTTTAAAGGTAAAGCGGAATCCAGATAGTTTAAAGAGGCTTTTACGGTGCTTGTCGCCACCAAATTTATCATCCATTTCTAAATCCTAATAACAATATATCAAAGAAAATGTTTAAAAATAGCAATTTAATACAGAATACAAAAATATTATACAGGAATGTTATCGATCAAATATGACATAAAAATTGCCACGCACCAGAAAATATCAAATTCTCTGAAATTGCCAGATTAAAATTTGATAAGTTTCACATACTTTCATGTATAAAAATAGCATATTTTTTTTAAATAAAAAATACTGTAAAAAATGTTTTAAAATTAAAAATTTCAATTTTTTAACCTAATTTAATAAATTGCTTATAATTTCATATCTGAAAGTTATTAAAAAAATTTCAATCATATTAAAAAGAACTCTATTTCCTAAATTTATTATAATTTTAATAAATAACTTCTCATCAAAAAATTTTTATAATAAAAGGTGTAACTAAAAAAACTAATTAAAAATTACTTATCAAAATAACAAAGAAAAATAAATAGATTGGTCATATAAAATATTTTAATCCCTAATAATAAAATTAAACACACTCGTGTTAAAACTTGTGTTATTACACTTTACTAATATTCTAAGAGCTTTTTGAGTTGATTTTGAATTTCACTAAAAAGTCTAGGTTTTCATGTTTTAAGTTAAGCCAATTATTACTTTAAACTTAATATCAATTTAAACCTGACAATTCCAAATTTCTCCCGATTCTGGAGACAATTCTGAAAATAATTTTCAAGACTTCTGCAAATATTGGATTCTTCACAAACAATAAAATAAGTAAGTAAAATTTCTATTTACTAAAGCTTTTATAAGTGTCGGCACTGTTCCGCATAAATGCGAGAATTTTTGGAAAATTTTTAAAGCTAAAATTGGGGTCTGCTTATAAGCTGATCCACTGACTTTGAAAAATTCCTGGTAGATATCGCCAAGAGAAATACGGCTCCTTTCGTAGAGCATTAGCAATAATCAGTAAATATCGAGCCATGATGGCTCAGGGGATATTGCATTTACCTTCCATGTCGATACAAATTCTGCATCTGGTATGCATTGGCCACAGTGCCGATGTAAAATATCCTCTGTGGTAGACGGATCAGGGGTTAGAGTCCCCCAGACGCCAGGCTAACTGTTGGAGGCTTTCCTCTCCATATAACACAAATGCGGGTTAGTTCCATCAAAAAGTCTTCTATTTATAGAAGCCAAATTTCTCCCAATATTTGACTTAGGAGTTCCCTTGTCTTCTGAATTGGGTTCAAAATTACAAGGCTACGGAGTTGAATATCAGTAGTCGTAAACTCTAAAAATTCAATTGGCTGTTCAACGGCAGTAAAATAATAGTTGAAACGGAATGCCTAAATATAAAAATTGAAAGAGAAACATATAAAAATTACGATTTAAAAGGAATACTATTATTTTTTTAATCTTCTAATTATGAATTCGGAAGGTCCAGGCGTGTCTTTTACCCACTGTGCAACCATTACTAAATCTACTGTTATTAAAAGAGAGAGGGTACATTTTTATTTCCAAGCATAGAATGTATTATTATTATTTTTTTATGTCGGCTTATAGAGGAGTTTTAAATTTCAGGTTAGTAACCATAAAAAACATAAAATAATAAACATATTCTAGAGCTTATATTAGGAAATATATGGTCAGTAAAATTTTTATTAAGTTATTCAAAAACATTGAATATATTTACCATATCTTCAGTATGTTTATGAAAACTTATAGATTTAGAAATAGCACCAGTAGATATAGGAACTGAAATTGCTTTCATGTGACGAGAGTTAAACGCTTCAGAGTGATCGGCACTGGTGGCACTAGCGTTCTGATGGTAACTTCCTTCACTATTCACATTGTTTGACAATGAGACAGCACGGAACTGTGGGCACACCTCTTCTGGCCCAAAATCTTGCAATTTTCTCTTTGCACCTCTTTCTCCAACCGAATTCCTGGGAATAGTGCCCGGTTTAATGGGTTCTATGGGGGTGGAACACTCTACCTGGGTTTTGCTGGTTGGTGTATCTTTATCGAACTGCATGGGTGAGCTGCTGTTTGAAAAGAATTCGGCTGGAGGACAAGCTGCTGCAGGAAGGTTCAAAGTTCTTGTGAGATCTAATGAGAGGATGTCGACTATGCTCGATCGGTGCGTTTGTTGTGAATTCTGTGAAGATACGGTTTCTTGTAAAGAGTCCAAGAGCATGACGCCGGAGTCTTGATCACTAGCATCAGGCAGTTCTCGAACGGCCAAACTAACACGACCTGATAAAAAGAAAATATGTAAGAGTAGCAAAAAAGTAATTAAAGAATGTGTGTGAAAAATAATTAAGACTTCTTTGTGTGGCCACTTGGTCAAATGACAACATATTTGTTTAGTTAAAAGCAAATTTTAACATTACATTTTCTAGTTAAGTAATTAAAACAAAAATATAATAATCAGGGTGGAAATTCTTCAGACAAAACTTAATTGGTTGTGATTTCCAGAGTAGAATTTGAAAACTTGACATAGATTTGTGATTTAAATTAGCTCAAATTTAACTATGATTTAAATATGTTCATATATTTATGCATATATTACTTATATACATCACATTTAGCAGAATTTTATAAATTGAAATTGTTCTTTTTTCATACATAAAAGTCAATTTTACAATTATAAATAATGAATATTTTCTATTTGACATATTCTTTATTTTTACTGAAAGTGCAAAATAAATATTAACCAATTTTAAACTACAATTTACAAATTGAAAATATTTTCTAATTGAATAATTTGATAAATAAAACCATTTCTCTTTCATTTACAAAAATTAATTTTACAATTATAAATTATTCTTTATTTTTACTGAATGTGCAAAATAAATATTAACCGATTTTAAACTACAATTTATAAATTGAAACCATTTTATAATTGAAGAATTTCATAAATAATGAATATTTTCTATTTGACATATTCTTTATTCTTACGGAATGTGCAAAATAAATATTAACCAATTTTCAAAAATAAAATTTTAAGAATCCTTTGAGAAGTTAATTAATAAAAGATGTGCTCATTAAATGGGAAGTCAAAATAAGAAAATCATTATTAAGAATTATTACATAGTACAATTATTTATTAAGATAGAAAATATGACAAGAAAATAAATGATTGTAACACAAGTTTTTATGAGATACTAGGGACAGCTTTATTTCCTCTTCATAGTTGATTAAAAACACATAAGTAGTGAGTTTTATTGAGGTCATAGTTACATTACTGCCCGTTGATTATATTCTTAAAATTTCTGAAGTTAATTGTGAATTTTCCTGAGAATTCCAGGATTTCCAAGCTTCCAGAGAGAGTGGTTGCTAACTTTTAAAATTACTGCCATATGGGAAAAATCTACCAATTGACAGAATTAAAAAGCTTTTTTTAAATTTTTTTTTATTCTTTCTGAACCAAACCTTTCTGCAATATGACCAAACCTTATAGGCACTGTAATTTATAATTGTTTTTTTTTAATACACTTGCTCTGTAACAAAAAGCATTTAAAAGCAAAACTCAAACTAATTACTTCTTTAAATTCTCATAAATATTAAAAAAAAATATTATTTCTCAATTCTTCTGAACAAAGAAGTCGTAATTAAATTGGAAATGCTTAGTATTTAGCAAAAATAAATTTGTGAATCGGTAATTCACTTTTAACTAGGAAAAATTCACATTGCAGGCATCTGGTCTCAATCTTAATGAATAAATAGACGGTTATAATTCACTACTTTTTAGTAATTTTTTAAAAAAAATACAGAACATTTCCTTCAGAGTAATTATTTTATTGGAAACCTTGAAATATAAAAAAAACCAAAACTATGAAAATAGAAGATTTTACCTAAACTCTGCATGCTACTCAAGCTTTCGTCTAGGGCAGACTGACCATCAACTAAAGTAGATCTGGAATATAAAAAGAAAAAATAGCAAACATCTGAAATTGATGATAGAAATAAAAACTATCGTTACATACATTGACTAGAAAAACAAAAGAAAAATAGGTAATCTGATTCTCTGCATAACTTTTGAGTCCTTTGATCTAAGATACAATCTTAATAGTGCAAAATGCACACTTTAAATATCCCAATTAATTACTACTAAGCAATAAGGTACAAAATCAAACAAAATGTACTTTCTTTGTCGGAGAAAATAATACCTCTTTAATGGATTCTAAATTTGAAAAATCGTTCCTATAATGTGACGTGGAGGTTAAGGCTACAAACTTCCTGGAACAACGGCGTGATAGTGACAATGTGGTCAGCATTGTGCACCGCACCGTCCGCCTTTACTTTCCAGACAAACTGGTAACCATTGATCAAAAGCAGGGTATGCTTCTAGCCACCATTGGAGAGGGAGCCACAGTTCTTTTCAAGGGCGGTTCAATGCTTAAACCATTGTATTCTAATTGCAATTCTTAAAATATGGGTTGGTAACTACAAATTAAAACATGTGCTCATTCACAAAAGTTAAGTTAGTCCTCTTAATATACGTAATTTGAATTTATTGCATTTTTAGCCAAATCTCTGAAAACTATTTGAGGCAAGTCAATCTTGTACACATTTTTGAAACTCCAGGGGTAATTGTGAGCCCAAGCCAAAATTCCGGAAAATTTTGTGAGTTCAAAAAAAAAAAATTTAATTGAAAAAAATTTAAACAAGGTTTTATTTCCTTTTTCTCAATATTTCTTAGTTTACTTAAAATATATTTAAAATTTTACACATACTTATACCATTTACACTGACCTATGATGACCTGGAGAAGTAATTAATATTTACAAATATGTCTTTCTTGAGTTTATGATTATAACAACTATTTACTGATAAAAAATAAATATTAATGATGAATATAAGCTTATAAAGTATCTCTCTGGCTCTCCCTTACAAACAAATAAAATAAACTGTATTTTTAAGTTCCACCTTTGAAAATTTGATTTCCAACAACTTGTGTGAGCAATGATTCTTATTAAACGTCTGAACCTTCAATCTCCGGAAACTTTCGGATCACTGTTAGCGAAAAATCCGGAAATTCAGATTTTTTTCGGAGTACAATCAGCCCTGAAACTCGTTCACCCAAAGATAATTTATTTCAAAATAAATAAATAAAAAAAATAAGCATCATATATTTGATTTAATAATAATGAAAAAATTTTAATTGCAAAGCATACAAGTTTTTCCATCCTTTAAACAAAATTTTTAAAAACTTAAAAACATTATTATAATTATTAATTAGCTTTAAGTTAAAAAATTAGCAACAATTGCAGTGAATAAACATATTTTTTAAATGTATATACAATAATAAAGCAACTTACACATTGCTGTCACTTTCCAAATCCATATGCAAAAGTTCGGGTGATTTAAAAGAATCTAAACTAGATTCATGAAGTGTTGTTTTATGTCTCAGCCTTACACCTTCTGAAAATAAGTTATGTATTAATATGATAGATAGGAAAAAATACCTGAAACATTCATGCAGAATAAAGCATAATAAATTTATAATTTAGAACATAATAAAAATATAATTATTTTCTATGAGGTTATTTTCTACTTACTTTCTTTCTATATAAAAATATTCTTTTTTGTAGTAGCTAAAATTGATTTTTTAGTCTTACGAAATAAATACATGACATCATTGCATTTAATAAAATGGGAAATCTTTTTTTCTACGATTGTTTTAATAGACACTGTATTATAATTTTTGAAATTAAATAAAAAATAAAATTTAAAACTTCACATTAAAAATTTTTTTTTATATGATTAGACATTATTCACAAAAATTAGACATTAAAAAAATGGAAATAGGTAAATTTTCTGGTGCATAAGCGAATTGAAGTCAACAATAAAAATAGAAATAAAATTTTTGAGCTTTGGAAAAAAGGACAATTTTACAGGGGGTCAGAGTAAGAAAAACAATCTTAATTCTGGCATTTCACAATTAAAATTTAACTAAAAAGTATGGGATCTTTCGAAAATGATTTAAAGAAATATTCATAAATTATAAGAAAAAAAATCTATAAATTATTGTGCTCATATGAATTTTTTTGGGGTAAATATATTATTTACATAGTTTCTTTAGATGCATTGTTGCTAGAAAAATATTAAATAATTTCAGAATTTTGTGAAAAACACAACATTTTGTTTTGCAATGCTTAATTTTGCAATTTTTCTCAATATAAGTTTTATTACTAGCTTAAAAAATGTGTAAATCGTAAAACACAGTCGACTAGTTTCAAGTGCTAAAGAACAGATGCCCATTTTTAAGACTTGCCAGACAAGAATGAGAAGAAACAAAATTGATTTGAAAAACAAAATGTTCCAACGAAAATAATTTTCATTAAGTCTTATATTAGTCAAACAAAACATTAAAAAAATAGAAGATAAAAAAAAATCAGAAATAAAATTAGATAACTTATAAATGAAAGAATGACGTTATTTCATTATAACAAACTTCAATTTGGAGAAGTGAATTAATGACCTAGTTTTTAGCAAAGCATCAACTTTTTTAGTGTTACAATAGTCAAGCAATGATCGAAATGGTTATGTTGATTATTATATTTCATTCTGATGAAAAAGAAAAAAGTACAGCTGAATGCTATACATTATTGTACTTAAAAAATTTTATTGGAAATTGTATATAAAAATTTTGCAATGGTTAATCTTATCAGAAAATGAATCCTAAAATCAGTGTTTGAATAAAAATAGTTTACTTTCAGATAGCACAGATGATTCTTCATTCATTGATGTAAAATGTGAATAATTGGTCTGAAAACTTGCTATATCACCAGAAAAATTGGTTGTATGCGGTGGAATAAAATTCTGATTGCCTCCGACAATACCATAGGCATCGGGCAGAAATGGATCTGAAAATAATAATAATAAATGTATTAGATTTAGCAAAACTTAGTTTTAACATTAATAATCAATATTCTTGTAAAAAGAAAAAACTAATAAATTTAATTATTAGTGTTTGGGTATATTTTGGTTTAAATTGGTATATGGTTAAATATTCATGGTTTTAGAAAAAGAAAAGTGTTAAGCACATTCTCTGGTAATTTTTGCTTAATTTTCTTAATAGTTTTACTTTAAAAAAAAAAAAAAAAACAGATAAGTAAATGTTTTCTAACACCCACATTTTATCAACAGTGACGTGATTAAGCATTATAAGTGATTTTTGGAGCACCTATTTTAATGGTTTTGAAGCAATATACAGGGTGTTTATAAAGTCCTGGACCCATTTTGATGTTTAATAACTCATAAAATAATAAAGATAGATTAAAATTAATAACATAAATGGTTAGATAGACTCAAAAATTTTCATGACCCTTGTCAATGAACTTCCACGTGTGCCTCCTTCTCTTTTAGAGGTTTACAACAGATATGGTAGGAAGGATAGAAGATGCTGCTGATTTTCTGAAGCGCATCAGATCACCTGATATAACGCCGCTGGAGTTTTTTCTTTGGGGATTTATAAAGGACAATGTTTACAGGAGGATC